AACTTGCCATAATATTCACTGACTGTTTCTCCTGGTCTTTGTTTACAATTCCGAAGTTCTTCCATCCACCTCTGTTGCCTTTCAGGTCCACAAAATTTCGTCAAGAACTGATATTTGAATGATCTTTTACGGTGATATTCTGACTTCCATGCTTCCCAAGTTATTATGTTTCTTCTAGCTGCTCTCCACCAAGTTAGAGCTGGTCCTTCCAAACTTGCTGAAAGTAAATCTAAGACTCTGTTTCCCTTTACACTATTTACTTCACAAGCAGCTTCATATTGGTCAAGCCATTCATATGGATCATCTTCCCCTCCTCCAAACTTTGGAAATTCTGACCACTTAGTTTCTTTTCCACCTAGTCCAGCTGCCTTGAATGCTTTCACCAGCTTTTGCAGGTCTTTTTCTTCTTCATCATTTGGATTAACTTCGTCTTCTTCATCAGGTTGTGGCTCTTCTTCTTCGTCACTATCATCCAGGTTGATTTCCAGGGTGTACTCGTCCGGTACATCTTTTTGGTTTTTCTCTAGATATTCTGCCACCACATCAAAAACCGTTTTGTTTTTCTGTTTAGCTAACTCTCTTTCTCTTTTATCATGGGCTTGGGTTAGTTCTACTAGTTTCTTCTGAGTTTCCAACATTTGGTGTTTCTGATAGTCTGCTACTTTCCTTTGTTCAGCCTCTTCCAATTCACTTGTTTTCTTGGCTAGGAGCACCTTCATTTCTTCTTCATCAAATTCATCTTTGCCATCACCAAGGTCCTCCTTTTCTTTTCCCTTTTTATATAACTCTTTTACTGGTATAAACGCACAATTTTCATGGTCACTTTTCTTTTCAGCATAATAATTTAATGCTGCACAGTACCAGTCCTCCATGACCTTCTTAAAGTGCTTCTTTTCTAAGGTGAATTCAGTGGCTTCTTGCAGGTCACTGACAACAAAATAAGCTTCATCATCTATTAAATCTACGTTTATTTTTGGTTTAACGCTTATGGGTGGTGTCATGTCTGATTTTTCTGTTTCTGTATCACTAAATTTTTCTGTTGTGTCTGTGTTTTCTCCCGAACTTTCAAATAGTGTGCTATAGTCTCCTACAGTTTGGACTGATTCTTGGTATTCTGAATATTCAGATTCTGGATATATAGATCCTTGATATTGGTCTAAAGATTCTAGGTCGTCTGAGTCTGTATTGTTAGTCTCTGTTGTATCTGACTCTTCTAATTCTTCTATAAATCTGGCTTTAGTATTTCTTAAGCTTCTTCTTCTTTTTCTGGG